ATTGCACTACACATACTCTAAACAAGAATGCCGAGTTGTATTTTTGAGGTTTTTGAGGAAATTGTCGTCTGGAACGACCCCTACAAAATGATGCTACTGAGTTCTAAGTTGTTCTAAGTTAAGTAAGGATGTTATTACAGTTTTAGGGGTAGTTTTTAGAGCAAAGAGTTTGGTGCATAAATTTCATGTTAACAGTCAACTTTGCAAATTTTAAATAAATATTAAAAGAACAAAGCCTCGGCCATTGATCGTTAACTCGTGTTAAAATAGAGTTCTGTAGAAATCAACTTAAAAATAAACCAAGTGTTCCGTAATCATTTCTGGGTTGCGATCCATTATCGAAAAAGTTTGGAAAACCCTGTTCTAGATAAACTGTAGTTGTTACTTGCCCGAGAAAAAGCTTCTAAAAATTTGTCACTGGCCGGCAGATTTATCAAACGGGCGACTTTAAATTATGCCAAAACGTGGGACGCTCCCATCCCAAAACAAGACAAATTGGCCCATCCGCTGCTGTTTGAATTCACAGAAATCTCGGCATTGTCAATGCTGATTGGAGATTTCGAAATCCGTCGTGCATAATTAAGCATGGGTATTAAAATTAGCGGCTAAGCGTTAGACAATGGGTTAGCATGGGACATGTTTAATGTCCAAGCGAGTGAAAAATACAGTGTGCAAAGAGAAAACGTTTGTATGTGTGCCGACCATTTGCAATCATTTTTCTTTAGTGAATACTTTTTGAAATTGCCTAGATTAAGCAAAATACTATTATTTTCTCTGCTGTTCGCTTTGTGTAAGCAACCCTGTATGTAACAACTATAAAGCAACAGCCATCTTAAAACAATGGCCCCACTAATAAATAATGCATCAGATAATACCGTTGTTGTTAATTGATTCGTTAAAGGTCCTTCTCGTTCGTTCGGTAGCCTAAGAGATATTTGCATCATGTTTAATATGTAGTTTAAGGTCAAAAGTGGCCGTTACATTTACATACATTATGTATCAACGTTATTTTGGCGGTTGCTTTTCGCCTTCATTCGTTTTTGCTTTGGTTAATGCTCATTAATTGCCCTTAAGCAGAGGCGGCGCTAGGGGTGGGCGCCCAACCAAAATTTGTCTCGCCCAAATCAGATCCAATGCGACAATAATGACGAATAAATGAAATTCACTAATGAAATTGAAAAGTACTTAATAATAGTATATTATTTTCTAATCTATATCTGCTAGGACAAGAGCCAAAGATTCTCATATAGAGGAAAAAGAAGTCATTGATTTGTCTCAATCGCTACATGAACTTTCAAGACAGCCGTTCTGAGCAAGTTTTCCTAAAAAGCAGTATGGTTCTGATCTTCGTAGTTTTAAGTCCACTTATTATATCTTGTATCCTTGGATTAAGTACAGCATTCTCAAAGATGCTGTATTCCGTTTTTCCTTGTAGATTTTTCCTCAAACAAGGTGGAACCAACAGTTTAAGTTTTGTTACTGAAGGCTACAAGAACTGGTAAAGGGCTGCAGACACAAAAGCTGGGTTTAAAAACATGATTTAGTACATTTAATCCATTTTTTAAACTTGGAATGTTTATTTCTTTAGCTAACCATTACCAATGCGATATAGTTTGAAGTGAAAACAAGACAAAGTCATTGCCAGATACCACTAAGAGGTAAGGTATGAAGTCACGAATAATCTAAAAATAAACACTTTAACAGATCTCACCCTTCTTTTGCAAGATTTTAGTTTAGTCTTCCATGAATGAATAAACTATGTACTATTGCAATGACCGTACCATCTTCTAGTGCAAGTTGTGAAAGATCCTTCAGCACTTTAAAGGGAATTAAAAATTATTTCAGAACAACTATATTTCATTATTGAGTTATTTCACTACCTTATTAAAATGTTATTCAAGCGAGTTATTAGGCCCCTTAAAATTTGGTTGGCCTTAAACGCTAAACGTTATTGTGATCATGCGCAGTTTTCAGAAAATAAGGTGTTCAGGCAAATAACGTTAAGTGCGTTTTTTAGTTTTTGATGCCGCGTTTGTTGCACTCTTAATAAAATAAACCTCACTTTATTGTTTTCTTATCCCGTTTTGTTTGGAAAAGTTTCAAAGCTAGTTTAAGTTTGTATTGTTATTAAACAAAAAGTGGCTAAGATGGAAGAAAACGTTGAAGTTGCCTTTCTGCAGCGAAATAATTAGGGAGATGTCGATCACCATTTAATAAGAGACTTAATTTTACACGACATCTTTGACCCACCTGTTGCTGCAAACTGAAGAGTAATTTTTAATTTAGAAAATATTGAGCCCAGAGATCGCCTTATCAAGTTTAGGTTTCAGAACGAACATATTAAATAAAAATTCAAAATCAAATAGTTAGGTTATGGGTTAGAAGTTAGAACCTGTGCTTGCACTGTTAGTAGTGATGCCAAAGTTCAAATTTGCACAAACAATTTTCACATACAATCTGTAATTACGCAATAATGGCGTAAACTAGTCAATGAAAAAGTCGTATTTAAATGTACAAAGATTTTTTATTCTCTTATACCCGCTTATTTTTTTAAATATTATTGGAAATAAGTCAAATATGTCAACACCGTCGTTCTGCTTATTAACGTTACCGCTACTCGTACGTAAATAAAGGAACACGTTATCCTCCAATAACGTAAACGGTTATTTCTTTACTAATGCGCATGCTCAGAATAACGGATAAATTAAAACGTGTTGCAGTTAAAGGGCATAAAACTCTCTAATGTTTATGATGTTATTCGTTAATTTAAATATTTTAAACCTACTTTCGTTTAGTAAAACATTTATTTCGTTATTCTACGAAAGTAGAGAAAATATCGTGTAATATTTGTATTGTAAATTCACATTGGGACACTCAAGGTATTGTCTAACTCTGTTAGCTCCTTGCTTGACAAAAACATGTCGTTATAAGTGCTTACTAAAAATGAATCTTTGCAACGCTTGTACGTTAAATAAGAATAAAATATTTTGAAAAGCAGATATATTATATCCAACTCTTACAATTAAAAGTATAAATATCTCCTGCCCATCTTGGAAAATTTTCCGCCGGCCACTGCCCTTAAGCCAGGCAACAGTTACCGTTAATTTACAGTAAAAATGTAATAAGTTGACTTTTGTGCGAGAAAACGGTAAATACTTACTGTTAAAATACAAAGCGTAAACGTTTTTTTTGTTGTTTCAGGGGAACTTTGAAGTCGTTGCCCGTCGAAGAACAAACCGTTGAAACCAGGTAAACCCAACTAACGAAAATATATTTTTATGAATTCCATAGGTCGACTGTCCATGAACGATAGTTGGTGAACAGTTCTTTTATTCAGTACTAGTGAGAAAAAACTGCATAGCTGATACACATTTAGAGATTTCTCATCTTTGCAAGACCGGATTACACCATAGTAGGAAACGCAGATTGCAAGTCCGAATCGAAAGTGGATCTACATTACATCATTGAGATATAAACTAGCTGACTTAATGGGAAACTCTTTAAGGGTGTGTCCGTTTTTCGTCTCGATGAAAAAATATGAAAACTGGAGCGCTGCACACTTGCAAAACTTTCCTATTATAAGCAGCCCATTTTCAGTATGGCATGGTAAAAGCCGCGCAAATGGATATAAATGCGGAATAATTGAATATGAAATGTAATATATTAATCAGGAAAGATCAGGCGGGTAATTATGTGACTGTTTTGATGTGTTGCTGATTTATTGCCAACTCTTAACGCGATTTGATTGCTTTCGGACGCAATTAATCCTATTTCATTTTCTCCATTCAACATATTCATCATTCACCTGCATCTGGCTTATTATGCGACTAAAAACAAGGACCCCTTGGATTCTTCCCATTGAGTCGAGGGCAACCAAATGCAGGACGTTTGGTTGGATCAAAAAAGTACTTTTACTTTGGTTGGCCACAGTGTAGCGCACAAATTGATTATTATTATTATCATTATTAACACTCTCTTCCTGGCAAAAGGTCGCATAACGATGGATGGTTGTGGAGTTGCATCATAAAAGTTAAGCAAAGTGCAAAATGTACTGTGATTGCCGCGATACAGAACGTGCCAAAACGAAACTTGAGGAAAAAAGCAGGCATGCGTTGCCGCAATATGCACCACGACCGTCCAAGACCAATTAAGCCGATTTTGATGGGATTTATTTGTTGTAAAAGTTGTTTTTGATGAGTTATTAGCGGGTAATGAGGTGCTTTAAGAAAATTGGCGGCAAGTCTTTTACACCGGAAACTTTCGAGAAGTTGGCGTTGCTTCAGAGCAAACCCAATTATGTAACATGTGCATTTTAATGCAGCCCAAAATATTGGACTTGAATAACAATTGTGTGAAATGTCCGAACGAGCGCAGTTTTGTTGCCTTTCAACTTCAAACTTATGGCTAAAATGAGTTTAAGTCCGTTCAATTAGTGTTAAGAAATAGCGCAAATTAATCTAGTCAGTAATGCCAACAAGGTCAGAAATTGTGCAATACTGGATGCAGAAATCCGATCGTTAAATATAAATAGTTGTTGCTTCAGTTTCTTTAATTACCGTCAACTGCCTGCGCGTTTTAACACCCACCTGCGACACCACTGAAGAATCGGTTTCCTGCTAATGTTAGCAAAATCCGGACATTTAAAAACAAAATTTAGTTTACACCTCTTATGGGCGAAAGTTCGCTAACAGGTGTTGAATGGCTTGAACAATCAATTTTTGGATAGCTTAACATGAAAGATTTCGATGCAAGAGGCTCCTTACTCGGCTAATTATCCCATAACAATCAGCACTAATTAATTCGGATGATCACTTTCGCCGCAAAACCATTTTACATTCGACTTAGGAAGTTTGTGTTGTGTGCCCACTTTAATGCATTTTTTCGGTTCATTCTTTAATCGCGTACAATACAAGGAGTTGGCTAATAATTAATATTCTCGATGGCCAAGTAGGAAAAGTCGGCAGGTCTGTGTCATTCAATGCAAATTGGCCACCATAAAGCCATCAGATCATCAGATGGATGAGTTTTCACTTTAATTATCTTCTGACTGCGTATATTACACATACACCCAACCCTATGTGGTTAGTCTAGCATCAAACACCACGAGCTTAAGAAGTTCAATGCAGATTTTCTCGAAGCTACTAATGTGAAAGTTGAGGATACCAATGGACCTTTTGTAGTTTCCTAGGTCTATTGGCCCCCAAGACACTGAAAGCTGATCTGTCGAAAAACTTCTTCAAAAAATTAGGCCACATGTTTGTTGCTGGTGGCGAGTATTATGCGGAAGATACCGCATGGGACTTATAACACCTGTGGGAGAACTCTTCAAAAAGTAATTGATGAAGAAAACTACAGCATCCTCTCGACCGGAGAACCGAGGTATTGTGGGCCTGGGTAACTCAGTGAATTTTTAGGAGTTGGCGCAGTGCAGCGCAAATAGCTTGGTGCGCCAACCCAACACAGCGGCGCAGTAACTCAGTTCCGTTGCTGCGAAAATGTTGATGACTTGGTTTTACTTGTTTTTAGACTTATTTTAAGGGCCATTCATTAATAATATTTTTTAAATGTCTTCAAATTTCAGAATTTTACAGTTTTAGCCAAGTTACTTTTTCTTCTAAATGCTCAATTTTCTAGTTTCACTTAAAAATACTGACAATCTTAAGGTACTTTCCGCGAAAAATTATGAAGTAAATTTCGCATCCTTCGTCGCTTTGTAAAAAGTTTTGAAATCCCTTTGCAGCTTCGAATTTGGAACAGAAATCCAATCATTTTCTATAAAAAACGAACAGAATAAGCGAAAGTTTATAACAGATTACTTGGACATCTCGCCACCTCCATACCTCTGGAGACTCTTGAGTTTGTTAAAAAAAATGTGATTTTTCAGTTTTGACTGATTTTTTGCCTTTACTTTCTTCTCAAAAATGCTCCATTTTGTAGAGTTTCACTTAAAAATACTGATCTGGAGGTCTTTTACTCGAAAAATTACAAGATAAATTTGTAGCTTTGTAAAAATTTGACAAAAACTTTTTTCGAATCGGCACAGAAACGAAAATAGGTTGATTTTTTTATTTTACTTTGTAATCAAATATGCTCCACTTTGTAGAGTTTCACTTAATAATACTACCGATCTAGATGTTTTTTACGCGAAAAATAACAAAATAAAATTATAGCTTTGTAGAAATTTTACAAAACTGTTTTTCAGCGTCGAATTCGGGACGAAGACGAAAATAAATTCCTCCCGTTTTTGCCAGAAAAATTAAGGTTTTCTTCAAAACCGAAAACGACCAGAGAGCAAAAGTTAAAAAAAATATTTAGAAAATCCTGAAGACTGCATTTGTTGAAAAAAGCGTAGTTTTTAGTTTTGACTCATTTTTTTTTATTTACTCTCTTCGCAAAAATGCTCTATTTTGTAGAGTTTTACTTAAAAAGACTGACGATCGGGTGGTTTTTTGCGCGAAAAATTAGAAGAAAATTTATTGCTGTAAAAATTTTACAAACACATTTTTCAGCGTCGAATTCGGGACAGAAACGAAAATAAATTCCTCTCGTTTTCCATCGAAAACCATTAAGGTTTTCTGCCAAATCGATCACAAAACTAAAAGTTTTTAATGGAAGGCGCAAAAAATAATTATTTTCTGATGATTTACCTCATTTCTGACAATAATGAGGTCCTTTCATCCGAAAATGGCAAAATTAATTTCGCTAGAAAATTTGCCTCATTCATCAGTTGGCAGGAAATTTCAGAAAATCCATTTCAGCTTCGAATTTGGCACAAACACCAAAGCATGTTATTCAGTTTTTTACTGAAAGTAATTATGATTATCTCGAAAAAACGACCAGAGAGCAAAAGTTTAAAAAAATTATTTGGAAAATTCGTCGCCCTCGTCGCTATGAATAGTTTTAAAGTTTCTTTAAATTTTCAGGTCATACCAGTTTTAACAAAGTTTCTGGTAAGCAATTCTTTCTACACTCGCCTCCTTAACCGCTTTGCAAAAATGTTTGGAAATTTTTTTGCAGCTTCGAATTATGGACAAAACTCTAATAATTAATTTTGGGTCTTTCTCCAAAAATATTTCTGCGATCTGAAAAAGCAAAAGTTTATAATAATTTATTTGGAAAACTTTTGGAAACTGGGGTTTCTTCACTTTTAGATCAATATTTCTAGCTTCGAATTTGGAACAAAAATCAAATAATTTTCTATCAAAAACCGAACAGAATAAGCGAAAGTTTATAATTTGCTAAAAAAATTTGTTTTTTTAGTTTTGACCGATTTTTTTATTTTACTTTGTAATCAAAAATGCTCTACTTTGTAGAGTTTCACTTAAAAATACTAACGATCTGGAGGTTTTTTACTCGAAAAATTACAAAATAAAGTTATAGCTTTGTAGGAATTTTACAAAACTGTTTTTCAGTGTCGCATTCGGGACGAAAACGAAAATAAATTCCTCCCGTTTTTCCCCTAAAACTATTAAGGTTTATAATATTTATTCAGAAAACTGTTGGAAACCGGGGTTTCTTCACTTTTAGGTCAATATTTCTAAACAACCACAGTCTCTAAACAGAAAAACCGAGTCTTTCCTAAGATTTTACCGTAAAATACTGGCAAACTGAATCTTTTATGCAAAAAAATAAGAGATTGATTTTACAAGAAAACTCGTCGACTTTCTTCGTTGACAGGAGTTTCTGCAAAAATTCCAGTCAAAAACACTACGATGCATTGCCAGAAGTCCAATGGGTCCGCGGAGAAATTGGTCTTCGATCAAATACTAAGACTGAACTACTTAGTAACAATATCACCAGAAGGCATAAAAAATGTAAACCTCCAGATCTGCCAGTCTGTTCATGGCTTTCCATTTAACAGTTCTCACCGAGGGTTACACAAGAGATTTATAATGTTAAATCCAGTTCATGTTTCTTATGCCATTTTTATTTTCATTATTATCAAATTTACTCATTGTTCTATAAATTGTAAATAGTGGCAAATTAAAGTAAAAAAAACTTGCATACAATTAACACGTCAAGAAAATAAGGCATCTTATGTGTGGCGGCGCGGTCTTCTGTGTGGTCCCGAAACAACATTAATATGGGCAAGAGCACCTGTGTAGACAGGTAAGTGCTGATGTAACGAGGCACGTAACGATACGTGAAAATCGTTATTTGAGTCAAAAACAAAAGAAAAATGTCCAATTAGATTTTAAGTAAGAAGAAAAGTAGACCGATTGTAATTATTACGTATTGGCAAAGTTCATAGGAGGCCCGAGGGCGCTCGCAACACAGTTTCTGCTTATTGTGAAGCGTTTCAATTAAATATGTTGCATTTCAACAGACGTTTTCAATCAATAAAATTACTGTTAATTACAAACGATTTGTATAATCTCACTGTGCGATCGACTTGAAACTAGGTGTCACCAGAAGTCCAACAACTAGTACCTACCACTAATGGCCTAGACTTTGGCATGATCTTAGATCAGATTTCGCTTTCTACGATTTATTGCGAAAAATAAGTAATTTTCAGACCGACAACGTTTTTAACAAAAAAAAACCGAATTCAATGAAGAAAATGTGCCGTTTTGCCGGATCCAGTTACAAAATACGCCCTTGGCGACTTGTCACCGCACCATTCTCCGCCGGTTTACCACTTGACTTAGTGCAGCATTCGCCGGTTTATCTAATGCCTTATAAATTGTTTAAATAAATATTGCACGTTAACAAGCCGGCACCGATTACGCAACATTTGCAGTTACATTTATTATTGGGGAAGGTGTGGCCTAACAGTTCCTATAACCGAAGGACCAGTTTTCAATCGCAAAAAAACTGTTAAACGTTGACTTATTCCAACCGGATTGACAATTCCACTAATCAAAATTAATTCCTGGGTTTCAGTCATTTATTGTCTCTATTTATCAATTAAAATACGTTTCGGTGTATTTTTTCACCATCATCAGTTTTTCTAAAATAACAGATAGTTAAAAAAAAATTTTCATTAATTTAAAAAACAATCACAGTTCGTCAACAGCCTCACCATATCACACACTAAAATACATCACAATTGCAACACTTTAAAGCATTCTAAAATTAATTAGGCCTAACAGGTGATTAGTCAGGACAATCAAATTTGGGAAGAGACTAGAATTCTTTGTTGGACACAAAGCGAAATACTGTTTATATTGATTTCTTTTACTTTCAGCTATTTATCTTTGCATTCTGAGAATATTATTTTTGGTTTGCAAAATTCTTCAATATACTGGGTGTTAGTTAATATTCTATGTTTATTTCATTTAATTAATGTATGAT